TGGGACCCCGTGGCAGGGTGCCTGGGCGCGTGCCCCCCTCAAGGGCAGCCTGGCTCTGTGGTGCTTCTCGAGCTGACTCCTCACCTCCTCTCCTCTTGCCAGGGACGACTGTGTGTCCGCCTTGTGACAACGAGATGAAGTCGGAGGCCATTGTGGAGCACCTGTGTGCCAGCGAGTTTGGTAAGGAGGAGTGCTGGGGGCACGGGGGGGCTTTCCTGAGGGACACAGGGCATCGTGCACCTTATGTGGGCTGGATCCTGGAACCACTGCATTTCCCTGCCCACCTCGAGTGCGGTGTGGCTGGCAGTGTGGCCGCCGTGGCCTCGTCGCCTGCGGGCAGCAATGGTCCTTCCCCGAGGTGAGCATGCCTCTAGATGTCAGTGTTGGCGCGCATAGGCGCTGGACGGGTCCGGGACATGTCCGGCTCCTCCAGCTGAGCGGGATGGGGGACCAGGACAGCGGGCCCGGGACAGCGGGGTGCTGGTGGCAGTGTCTGCGCTCCTGCATCGCCCTGGCCGCGGTGCTGCAGTGGTGCTGAGTGTCTCCTGCCCCGGCTGACGAAACACCGTGTGGGATGAGGCCCCCACGTGCGGGATCACCCACTGAAGCAGCGATGCTGCGAGGCCCCGCGGCTGCTAGCAGAGAACCAGATGGTGTTGGTCTGGAGTCTGGGCCAGAAGTGGCAGTGCCTGTTCTTTAGTGAACTCGGGGAGGGGGGTGTTTGTAACTTAACTCTGGTGTTCCCATGCTCTTGTGTGCTTGCAGAAATGATGCGTAGGAGGGACAGACCCTTATTCTGCTTGCAATGCTGAAGGAGCAAACCAGCTTCTTCCTTCCCCCAGATTGCTTGTACGGCTGGGTTTCTTTTTAGCAAAGTTATGCTGTTCTTGTCATGTTTAGGTGTAAAAACCCAAAGCCAGTCCTTATCTAGCTAGGGCCGAGCAGTGAGCTTAAGAAATGCAGAGCTGCTTGAAAGCTGTGTCCTGAATATATTATGACTGAGTGAGTCAGTCAGACAGTCATAGGTAAACAGAACTTCATTTGGAAAAAAAGTATTGCAGGGAAAAATATTAGCTTTCTCAGATCAAACCCAGAATTAACTGGTTTTGACATCCTTGCTGGTGTATGTAACTTTCCCGGAAGGTTATTAAAGGCATATTGAACAAGGTGTGCATTCCTTGGGGATTAGCACTTGATTGTGCCCTGTGCCAGAGCGTGCTATGCAAACCCAAACCTGCTCTGCATGCTGGTGTTATTACCCTTTCTGCTGGAAATGAATTCTCAACTCTCCTGCAGATCTGGCATGCCAGAAGTCCTAAGTTCAGAGCAGACTTTTTCTAACAGGGAAAAGCATGAACAGGAACACCCATGTAATGGTTTCCCAGGAATGTGCGTACTTCTAGCTTGGCTGAATAACGGACGCACGAATTCAGTGCCGCAGCCTGGCTGGGGAGCGGGAAGTGCTGTTCAGCCGACTGTTGGGTGGGTGCTGCACGGTGGGTGAGCCAGTGTGCCCTGAGCTCTGCCCCAGACAGGCATGAGGTGGGAGAGGAACTGGCGCTGCCCATGCCCCACTGCATCCGTGGGAGAGACCAGAGGGAGCGAGCAGCCTCCGGGACCAGCACGCGTGGCTCGGGCAGGGGCTGTGTGCCCAGGTTTGCGGTGACACAGAGGCATCGCCCTGGTCCAGAAGCTCAGCTTGGGGACACCTCTCCCATAGGAGGGGCGGGGGGTGCTGGCCGGGTGGCAGCAGTGCCTCCAGGGCCGGGGGCACACGAGGAGCAAGCCGAATGGGTGTCCCGCTGGTGGACAAGTGCTGGGAAGGGAAACACAAGTTTAACCACATGCTTGTCATCAGCCTCTGCCACTAAGTATCCTCCCCATGCTCTGGGACAGTTACACAACGGGGAGCAGAGGCCAAACCAGAAATATTCCTGGCTTCGCTGGAGTGGCTTGAGACATTGACTTGCACACAGAGTAAGTTGGTTATTGGGGAATTTTGTGGTGATGGCGTCCAGAGGATGGAAATATTTCTTTGCAGGCAGCTTGGGTAGGGCTGCGGTGTGTGCCCGGATATAGTGTTATGTGCACCAAGAGCAGCAAGTAGAGGAGACCTCAGCGCCTGTGCCTACCCCCAGTCAACCCAATACAGAAGCCTTCCTCCTGCTGTGGTTTGGCTGGTTTGGGGGGGTCCCTGTTCCTAGGCCAGCCATGCTGGGTCCCAGCATGGAGGGAGAGCACTGGGAGCCCGGTCAGCAGGCTCAGCTCGCCGGGAGGAGCTCCACTCTGCCTGAGGGGCCAAAGGTGGCCCTCTCTGTTGTGGGGGGAGCTCGGTGGTGTCACTGAGCGCCCGATGCCCACATCCAGGTGACAGCAGCTCACACAAACAAATGCAGCTAGATTTGAAAGGCTTGTGTGAGCCCCTGGGATTGCTTTAGTCGTAATGTCAGGTATCACGACTGCGTTGGCGCACCCACCTGACTCACCCAGATCAACATGTCTCTCCAGTTTTGTGTGAAGTCATTTGTTTTCTATGCCAAAGCAGAGTCTGATGGTTTTTCTGAGCATTGGAAGGAATTTGGGATCATTCTTTGTTCTGTGGATCAGCAGAACTCCAACATGTAACTTCATTTTTTTTTTTTTAAACATGTCAGAACTCTTGCTAATGCTGAGGTTGCTTCCATTCCTCCTCCTTCCCACTCCTGCTTTCTCTTGTCATCTCAGAAAAAGGTTTTTCATTTGAAAACGAGATGACCTCCCTGCTATAGAGAAGTCTAAAGGCAGCTGAGCACTACACAGCTGGTGTCTGCTGCGTGTGAACCATTGCTCGGTCTTCCCAATGGAAAGCTGGTCATGTCTTGGATATACTTTTGTTCCCCTGCTCCTCCCTGTCACCTGGCTCGGTTGCGGTGGGAAGCTCACCTGCGTGGGCCTTCAGTGCTGTAGGTTTCACATAGCTGCATTTGGTGTTTTCTTCCTTCTGTCACTGTTTTTCTCCCCATCTCCGAGGGTCCAGGGTGTTGGCAGTGCTGCCTCCAGACGTGCCTGGTCTGAGGCTGGCTGGGGAGCTGGAACGAGGGAGGAGATGCGATGTGGGCCCTGCCTGGGCACTGTCAGGGAGGGCAGTGCAGGGTGCTCTGGGGCTGGCCCAGCTGCGGAGCCAGCCCACAAGGCATCGACTTCAGGAGGTTTTCCTCAAAGCACAGCGCGTGGCCCTTGGATCTTTGTTTAGTCTTGGGGGGGGGGGGCCTGTCTGGGGG